GAATACTGACAAGAAGACCACGGCCCCGACTCTCTACGACTTGCTTTTCGCTTGGCTCCACTTGGCGTCGAAGGACCTGACCCTCTTCAAGTCGGATGTGAGCAAGGCCCACCGGAGGATCAAGGTTCTCAAGAAGCACTGGCGGTACATTGGGTACATGGTGGCCAAGATCAAGAAGAAGTTCTGGGTCAACAAGGTCGGCACCTATGGGGTGGCTTCGGCGCAGCTCTACTGGGGGCGATTGGCTGCCATCCTCACCCGCCTCTCTTACCAGATTTCGGAGGTTTTCCTTTGGCTCCTGGTTTTTGTTGATGATTTCATGGCGGTGATGAAAGAGAGCCTTGGAGAAATTGGGGCGGCCACCCTCATGCTCTTCCTTACTTTGCTGGGCTGCCCTATCTCTTGGCACAAGAATGCCCTTGGGAAGGTCAACCGTTGGCTTGGGTACATGGTCAACATCTCCGAAGGCTCGGTGTGGCTCCCGGAGGAAAAGTTGGCCATCCTCCGCCCGGCCTTGTTGAAGTTGGAAGCAGGAGAACTCCACACCAGAAAGGAAGTCACCTCCCTACTGGGCAAGTTGCAGTGGGTGGCGAAAGCCTACCCTCAGGTGAGTTCCCACCTCCAGCCACTCTATGCTTGGGAGCAGAAACTTGAACGGAAATGCAGACCGGGAGACCTTGTACGTTTTCTGGCAACTCTGCTCATCTCCATCTTGGACTCTGGCCCCTGCGTTCCTCTTCGTCTCCAGCACAACACTCCATGCTACGGGAGCAGTGATGCCGGTGAGGACGATGGCCGGGTGGCTATTGGTGGCTGGTTCTCGCCCTTGCTTAACCCCACCAAGGCGGAGGTCCTGTGGTTCTCCATGGACGTCCTTACCACTCCATGGGTGCAGCCCCTCCTGGCGCACACTTCTCCGAAGCGCCGAATTGGTGCCCTGGAACTCCTGGGCATACTCATCCTTTTCCTTTTGGCTGCAGAGTCCGTGGGGCCCTGCATGATTGATGCTCATCTCCCTCTTACTACAGACAATGAGGGCAACGCCTTTTCTGCCAGCAAGAGATCTTCGAAGAAGTGGCCTTGCTCGGCGCTTTTAATGGAGCTCTCCGCACAGGAGTTCCACAAGGGTGTCTTTGCTCAGGTCACCCATGTCAAGAGGAGTTCTAACACGTGGGCAGATCAGCTCACTCACTTTGATTTCGAAGGATTCTCCCCCGGAAATAGGAGGGAAGTTTCCCTTTCATGGTTTCCAAGTTGGATGATCTTGGACAAGCTCCTTGCTTTCACATCGGAGCAATAGCTCAGGGCTCCTTTCTGGGCCCTGCTTGCACACAGGATACGAATGCCAGGTACGGTTGCCTCAGGTGCCGATTACCTGTGCTTGGTTCCTGTACGGCTCTGCGGGACCTTCTCACTCACGGGATCCCGGGTCATTCGGATTGGGGGTTGTGAAACCCCTTGTTTGATCAATCTGAGGAGGGGTGGCGTATTTCCGACCGGTCTTCGGACCTGTCTGAGCTATGCCTGCCCCGGGTCCCTCGGAATTTTGATCTGATCTGCCACTTCGCGGACCTCGTCGGATTCGGGGAAAAAGTGCGTGTGCATAACCTAGGGCTTGTGGCTGCACTGTGACATAAAGAGAAGGGAATACGTTATAGAATATCAACTATTTCCCATCCGGCTCTCAAACACACGAAAAAGGTAGATCCTTGAGGGGGGGGTAGCATATGTATGTATGTATGTACGCATTAGAAACAGATACGTATGTATACTCATGATTTTTTACTATGCACATGTTCATATGTGCACTCACTTATTATTATAGATTTGAGAGATATAAGAAGCCTCTGCACAGGGTCCGTACCGTCCCACGGGTCTGTCAGGCGAAATGCAGAGAATATCTACTACAAGTGCGGAAGACTAGAGACCCATGGCTCACATCGCAAGGTTGAGCAACAGAGAGCTATCCTCCATCTCTTCCCGAACCCCTACTCTGGGGTTGAGCAGCAGAGAGCTATCCTCCCTCTTTTCCCTCCACCCTGACTCTGGGGCATGAGGGAGGGGTTGCAATGAGAGAACTACTTATCCTACCCCTCCCTGCGACACTCCTTCTCTTGAAGTACATAATGTACAGTTTTGGCTCAACCCCTCCCTCCCTTGCACCACCCCTCCTTCTCTTGCAGTCTCACCCACGTACATAGTGTACAGTTTTGGCTCAAACCCGCCTTCCCCCCAACCCTTCCTGCCCGGTTGTGTAGGGTTGCGGTTCAAGTGTGGGGGTGGTTTTGTTGCAGGGCTTGGTTTCGGGTTTAGGACATCTTGCCTAGGCCCCCTTGCAAGGGGAAGCCAGGCACATAGGGTTTCGGCCCAGGCCCCCAATTTTGAAGGGGAAACCAGGCCTTAGGGTTTAGGGTGCCGAGCTCCCTTTGTTTTTTTTGGAAAGGCGGGCAGAGAGAGTTTTGGGCCCAGCCTTAGTTCATGATAGGGGAAGCTGGTCTTCGGGCTTAGTTTAGTTAGGTTAGGTTGTTTCCCTTCCCTTCCCCCCTTCCCCCAACACATAATCAAGCGTCTTGGATCGCTTTGCGCCATCGAGGTCGGAGCTGAAGCGTCATCCAAACCCCTCCCTCCACCCAACCTACCCCAAAACCCCTGCGAAAACGCATTTCGAGAGTGTGTATATAACTGTAGATCTGCAAGTACATGCCTATATAAAAATTAGGAATTTGTGTCTTTTTTTCATTCATATGTGTCTCATAATCAACGGGGACATAGGTTGGCATTCCGCAGGTCAATTTTTCCATGAGTCTTTCGATCGAGGGAGTTGCAAGCTCTTCTCCATTCTCCATGGCCATTTTTGCGACCAGCCGATCGGCCCGGATGTTCGATTGTCGGCATGGGCCAGTGGTTATTCCTTGCTCGAAGCCAAGTCGTCTCCGCCAGCTCGAATCTCAGACGCAGCCTGAGGCTCCGAGCAAGCTCCCCAGCTAGGGCTTCCTCTTCGGATCCCAGCTCCTGAGAACAGCGGGATCTCCGGGCTCTATACTGCTCGTTGTCGTCGAGCTCCCGAGGATGCTCAACCGCAACAGAGAGACTAGGGCAAGAACAATTGGGTGCGACCACAAGACGATCGTCGGCGCTGTCCTGATGGAAAACAACTGGCCTCGGTGCTCTACAACCCGCACGTAGTCCAGAAGCTGGCCTTCGTGGATCACGGGGTCGACTTTTTATGCATTGTTTATTTATATATATGTGTATGTTTATTTATGCATTCATAGATTTAGAAGTGCTTACACAAGTATGTACAAAATAAGAAGCTCGCAGTCACACGAAAAAAAGCAGTATTGAAACTTATTGTAGCAGGGACCTACATGTACATATACGTGCATGTGTACATATGCACACGGACCCAGTAACATGATCCACTTGGTCGCCTGCATGTAAATAGCTTGAGACAACAGGACCTGTTTGAGTAGCCATAATATGACCGGTCCTATGCATCATGCAAGGGTGAAGACATGCACAGCTTGGTAGACGGATGGTATCACATTTATCCGCAAGAATACACTATAGAATACAACGAACAACCACAAGATTGAAGAGCCATGGCTTTAACGCATGCACGCCCCCTAGACTTTCCAGCGTTTCAGCGCGTTCCAGCCTTTATCCGCGCAAACGCGCATCAGCGTCTCCAAGCACATTAGTGCATACACTCCCGCACACTACCAGTGCGTCTAAGCGCCTAAAAGCGCCTAAGCGCCTGAAAGCGCCTAAGCCCTAAAGGCGCCTGAGCGCACAAAAGCGCCTAAGCGCGTGACAGCGCCTAAGCGTCTACAAGCGCATAAGCGCCTAAAAACGCCTAAGCGCATGCAAGCCGCTAAGCGCGTCACAGCATGTTAGCGCCTGGGAGCGTCCAGGGCCGTCCAGGCGTGCAAACGTCTCACAGCGCCTAAGCGCCTACAAGCGCCTAAAAGCGCCTGAAAGCCTGCAAGCTTCTGTATCCGTGTGTCAAAGCATGTTAGCGCCCAGGAGCGTGTAGGGGCGTCCAGGCGTCCAAGCGCCTCGCAGCGCCTAAGCGCCTAAACACGCCGCGCCGGAAACATTGAGGCTTAGAGGCTTAGAGGCGTGCGAGCGGCCAGGTGAAGCGCCTCAGCTCCTAAGCGTCTCAGCGCCTAGGAATAGAGGCTGAGGCTTAGAGGCTTAGAGGCGTGTGAGCGGCCAGGTGGGGCCATAGAGGCTTACAGGCTTAGAGGCTTAGAAGCGTGTCGGAGCGCCCAGGCAGCAAGGATATTATTGAGGCTTAGAGGCTTAGAGGCGTAATCGAAATTCAGATCCCCTTTGCCCCTACGATGTAACTGGGCATCTCCGGGCAACTGGGATCTGCTGCCCACGCTAAAAGGAGTGCTGCTCCGGAACTCGCTTTTTCTGTGTTGCTACCTCCCTTAGCTAGGTGGTGCAGGGCTGGTGGGGGATTGTAAACAAGTTGTTAGCGCACGCTTCTGTAACGAGGAACGAGGGACAACTGTGTCTGCTAACCCTGACCACGACATCGAAGGTGTCGCTGCTAAGCATCGTACGTGTTTTGCTAAAGCCAGCATGTTCTATCCGTGGCCATTACGGCTAAAACGCCCTTGAGAGTACCCGCCCAACCCTCCCTGGAGTTTTGATAGCCGAAAGCAAAGCATCTCCGGGCAACTGGGATCTGCCGCCAACGCTAAAAGGAGTGTTGCTCCGGAACCCGCTTTTTTTGTGTTGCTACCTCCCGGTGGTGCTGGGGTGGCAGGTGGGATTGTGAGCAGGTTGCTAGCGCACGCACTGTTTTCGTCGAGGCTTCTGAAGCAACTCCGAGTCTTGCGTGTGGCATCTGGCCGTTGCGCTTGCTTTGCATCCTACACACGCCATGCCACCTTGGCAGTACTTCGAAGCACGGAAATAAGTAATAAGAACACTTCGACAGATGCAAAATAGTTAATGGGCACTGCCAATGAGAACTGATGTCCCAGGAAGCCCTTTGAGCTGCTGGGTCTGGGCACTGGGTGCAAGGCTAGGCAAGTGAATAGAATGCTGTTCGGGGCTTCCGCAGTTTTAACTTCTTGCGTCAGTCTGTGCCGAGCTCGCCCGTCAGGCGTTCATGTGGGGCCTGCTTGTTGTGCCAAATGGCAAAGTTTGGATCTACGGGTCCTGCCGAGGGAGTGCCCAATACCATCTCCTTACTCCGGGATGTTTGCCCTGTGAAGGCAAGCGAGATTCGAACGGCGTACAGGAAGATCGCGCTTCAGATTCACCCGGTGACTCTGCCAGCGGGGGCAGGGATTGCGGCTGAGGGTTCGTATTCCGGAATTTGAACAGTTGTGGCCGTAATTGATTGCCGATAGACTTTAGACTTTAGACCCCGGGTTGGGCAGCGGCAGTTCGTCAACCTTCCATTCCTTGCAAGACCTTGAAACTGTACCAATGGCCACAGACGAGGCAAGAGCACCAACCAGCCCGCTGAAAGTTGGGCATGCGGCCAAGGACAAAAATCCGGGGTCTGAAGGACTTTGCAAGGAAGCTCTCATCAAGCTTCAGCAAGGAAGAGAGCAGGCTGGTGGGAATCAGCTCGCACATTGTTCGTTATGTAGTACGACTCTTGCTGGCATTGTACAACTAACAGCGCACACATACGTGAAGCGGACCACCCAGTCCATCACTGTTGTGGGCAAGGCAGAAAGCGAGCTGCAGCAACGAGAGCTGCTTCGTTTGCAAGTTTGTCAAGGTCAAGCTGTCATTTCCCGTGGTTTTACGATCATCGGTCTCCGAAATGCATATCTCAGAAGAGAGGAAACACTGACAAAACAACTTGGCAAACTGGTTTGTTAACAGCTTGTGTCACACACTATAGGCACCGTCATGAAGTCGCACCGTTCAAGGAGTGGAGGCAAAAAAAGGGACAAAGCTGGCATGGACAATGCCACTGTTGCTGCTTGGATGCATGTGGTGGGTTCCGAACTATATGAAATTGCCTCGAATTGCGAAGTCCCTGCCTGCGCCCAAGCGATCTTTCAGAAGCACAAGCGTGGCTATACCAATTCTTGCACCAGCACGGGGAGTATTCAGATTACTCGAAAAAGGGACATGGATCTGTGCCAGGAACCAGAAGCCAAGCCCTCTGGGAAGTGCCCATATCCAGGACTGCCAAAATGCTCGCACATTGGGCACGAACATGCCAAGAATAGAAGCCCACCAAGCTTGCACCGCTTGCGCAGGATGCGACCTACCAAGTTGCAAGCAATGCCCGAACAGGTGCTGCACTCGAACCTTGGTTGATCTTATGCACATACTGGCGACATGCAGTCATAAGGACCGAGTTTGAGTAGAGGTGCATCATCCTTGGCGTGCTGCTGGTCATTCATTGCTTCTATTCCACTCCATGCAACTGTATGCTGCAGGCTTTGTGGTTTGCGGGTCAGCTTCAGTTTGTGACAGCTCCAGCGTCGACCATCATTACCACTTTCTGCGATGAGTGTCTCAAGAAGCTCGACATTGCTCGCCGTTTTTGGTAGCATCCTCCTTCACTCCAATACCGCGTCAAGTTCCCAGTCTTCGAATCACGGTGTTGTGTCACGTGTTGTAGCTCTGGGGCATCGGGTTTCATGCTCTTCGAGGCAACATCACGCATTGCCACATGATCGCACGAAGCCGAGGGGGGCTACCTGGCAGCATGGCTCCGGCATTCCAGTGCACGCGAACCGGCTAATGCCTGATTCTGAAACAACCGCCAGCATCCAGGCTCCACTGCTACTTCCATCCGCCTCCTCGCTCATGGGCGCGGAATGCCGAAGGTTGAGGCAGCAGTCTCATGAAAGCGGTTGCTTCGAGTGGGACTTCAGCAAGGATTGTGTTCAGGGTAGTCACTACTAGCAACCTTCGATTTCATCCTGACCATGTGCTGCGGAGAGTGCTTACCCGTCGCATCAAATACTGCCTAGCGCACCGTGCAGCTCGGCACAGTGCTCCATTCCTGAGCATTTTTGGTCCCAAGGTCTGTCCCAAGCTGCTTCATGCCATGGTTGTCATCTTCTGCATACCGTCAGTGGGCTGGCCACCATGTAAAGGCGAGGATACAACCCTGCCCAGCTTAGCTAGCTTTGAGTTGCTTGCGTAAGTGTCAAGCTCGTATCTGCACCGTTCCTTCTGTCCAAAGGGCAAACATCCTGCAGAAGTAATGGGGGAAGACTAAGGCGAAGGAGGTACGGAGCAAGTGTGCCTTCCGGTATTATAGCAGTACTGCAAGTCAGAATGTCCGTTTGGATGCATGAACGAGACACGTACCAACACTTTATCGTGACTGCTTGTTCCACTTGCCTCGTGACTGTATTTTCTGACAGTGCAAGAACGGCTGCGAGGGAGCGAAAATGTTGCTGCAACAGAAGCACGCTTGGGCAGACACCTTCGATGATGAATGCTCATCTCTATGGCACTGCACCGCTCAGCTTCCGAGATGCTTGTGACATGCGCTTTGCAGAGCCCTCTCTTGGACAGCTGCCGCGAAGGCCCGAGCTCGCAGCCACGCAAAGAAGGTCTGGCAGTTTAGGCTCCAATACTTGTTCGGGTGGCGTAGGTGGCACTGTTTCACGATAGAGTGCTGCTGACGCCATGAGACATTCCAAGGGTTCCAACCAGAGTTTCAACGACCCTATGACAGGACCCTGGATGCAGATGAGTACCTAGCTATTTGGCCGTTCCTTTTGGTGTGAAGAACACTTCACAAGACTTGCCAAGCTGGTGCTGGAAATCGGGAAGCCGGCCCAATACGCATCCAGCAAGCCTGAAGTAGTTGGATTCACGCCACGGCCGGTCAGCAGTCACAGCCCGGATTCGTTTTCGAAAAGTGCAGGAGCTGTGGAAAGCCTGGCGAGTCTCCGGGCCGACATTGTGGCATCCCAGACTCTTGGCAAACGGACGGAAGAGCATCCAGTTACGGTCTTTGCCAAGAAAGCAGAAATATCCAAATCGTCAAGGACCTGACAGTTCTCTTCATGCATAGGCAGAGCAACCGTGTGTGGAGAGATGAAGCCGCGATTCACACAAAGTGTTACACGTTCGGGTTCAAGCTCAAGGGTCAAGGTGGTCTCCCGAAGAGGTCCGAGAGCGCAAAATGCCACTCGCCTCCCTCGCGCAGCTAGCCCCGAAAAGGAAGCAGATCCTTCGAAAGCTCGACACGGAGCTGGAGAAAATGAAGAAGAGCACACCACCAGCTAGGCCGTCGTTTCGCGAGGCGCCTGTCTCCATGCGTGTTCTGAATGTTGGAATGACACTGTAGGAGCTTATCCCTTGCAGTGTTGAGTCTGCCGGAGATCGATTCTCATCTACAGCGACCTGCCACTTGCGATATCTTGCGATCTGCACATGTCAATCTGATACGGAACTGGTACTACATGATGCTATACTTTACGGTCTGTTACCTTTCGAGTACCATACTAGTTACTAGACGGTACTACAATTTACTATACCATCCCATCCTCATCCTCAGGGACTTCACCTCCTCTGCTTCAATCGCCGAAGTGACACCTGGACCTCTCTTGATCCAGGCGCATGAGTTTGTTCCAGGGCCGCCACAGCCGCTGTCACCTTTGACACCCACCAGAGCTTGGGGCCCTGAAGGGAGGACTGGGTTGAGGAAACTCGGAACAGGCGGTTGCAAAGTCCATGTTTTCAGACCTGCTTCATGGCTACTTCCTAGGCCGGATTCGAGTGTAGATGATATTGCAGTTTGCAGGACAGACACGACGTCCACGATGATGACGAAGCCCAACCTTCCCGGTGCGCTGGACAGTGAGGACGACGCTCCTGCCGATCCACGGACAACTCTCTCTCAATTATGGCCACGTGGCAGACAGGGGTCCCAGTCAGGGTTTCTGGCGAGAAACCGGGTTTCGGCATAGTTCGATTCTCTGTTCAACGAAGCTTGGGCAGCTCGGGCGTCTCATGCAATTGCAGTTTTTCACCAGGCCGGGTTCGTACATTGGGCCGAGATGGCTTATTACTTTGATCCTTCGGCCGGTGAACAAATTTTGTACAGAAAACGGCCGTCGTTTCGGTTTGACGATCGAAGCAAGCGGCTCACACTCCTGCCTTCACGCAAACTGTAAGCAGCACGTCCGCACAGATGCCTGATGTCAGAAGCTCAGTCCAAGATGCGACGTAGCTGACGTCGCTCCCTTTGTGTCAGACATCCTGGAACTCGGAACTCCGTTAAGAAGCGATAGGGATGCCAGTTTCCCGGCTTATGGTGCCAGGCTGGCGACGGGGATCGGAAATAAGGTATGCAGTTACGCGATCCACTAGGTTCTTGTGGTTCTAGAGATTTCTACGACAGTTTGTAGACAGAAGCTCTTGACGACCACCTTTCCGAGTGCAAGGTCCGTTGCCGAGCAACGCAAGAAGCGAATGCCTTGGATCAATAAGCAGAACCTTGGACTCCTTGGACTCCTTGGACCTGCCGAAGTGGGTTCGACTGTCCTTGTGCGTTGTCTGGGAGTGCTCTAGGGGATTCTGGTTGACAAGACCGAACAGCTGGAGAGAGGATTCTTCCACCTCGCACTTTGAGGCCTTAGTTTGAAGTCGTCCTTGCTCGACCTGCCTTGCTGTAGTGGTGTGGGCATGACAGATGAGGTTTCACGTGTATGAACACGAGATGCCTTGATTTTCGCTTCTCCATGCTGTCAGACTCATCAAAGCTCGCACCTTCGTTGGAGCCCAAATGTGCTTCCCTTTTGAGGAAAGCAGCTGGCGCTGGCGCCACCGCCATTGAGAAGCACATGACGCAAAAAGCGCTTGCGGAGGAGCACGTGCAGGGTACAGGCCACTGGTGGGAGTTATCGCTGTCGGTGTGTATGGCTTCCTCAGTTTGAGGTTGTGGCGGTAAGATGCAGGGGCTCTGTTGAAAGCCCCAGAACAACCCCAACCGACTGGTTGACTTCACCAAGATGTTGAAGAAGCCGCCAACAGGCAGCCAGCCCGTTGCTCTTGAAGAGGAAGATAAGTGGCGGGGCATGGATTGAAAGAGACTGGATGCAGGCTGAGTCTGTCGTGGTCACATCATGTGAGAAGAAAGGTTGGGACGGCAAATGCTTTGCCGTCCATGCATGAAGTGCGAAAGCCAAGGCGCGTATTCTCACAGCTGAACTCGGAGTACGCGGTAGAGCAGTTGAGGACGAAGGGAGTCAAATCGTAGATGGGAAAGCGTAGATGGGAATGTGCAGTTTTGTAAAGACGCGCGAGACTGCTACTTCGGCCAAGAGCCCTGTCGGCCAGGAAGAATGCTGTTGCGCAGTTCCGGGCCCAATCCAAGCTTCCACAGGAAAGCTGTTGGACCAAGATCGTGTCATGGCGCACACACTGGGCATTGAGAAGGCTGTTGATTCCATGCGTCAGCTTCAAGCACAGTTTCGAGCCTTTTTTGGGGCTAGTCGCGCATGGCTGGGATACGTCCTGCCTGTGTGCCGCAGTCTCCGCAGAAGCAGGTCAAGTAGTGTTGATATCGAACTCTCCCGCTGAATATGAAGAGGTTGCATCTTCAGCCAAATAGGTTGTGTAGCATCCACCATTGGGCCAGGTTGCAGCTTGGACAATAATCTGGGGCCTCTCTTTGTATCGCAGATCCATCTGGACATGGGGTGGCTAGCCCATGCAACCGGCCCCGAAGGCTCTCTGGTATAAGGCTCAAAGAAACCGATTCCGGCCCCGGGGCTTCCCGGCAAGGTCAATAGTCCGTACTTTGAGCGAGTCGGCCTTGCGAGCCTTCGCTGAGTTTGGGAGGGAGACACCTACAGCTTTTTGATCTGACTTTCCATGCCACGCATGTTTTGGAGGCTTCGGTAGGGCTGAAATTCGAGTTGTGGACCTCAGCTGACCGAGGATGATATACTTCAACGCGATTTGGATCGCCTTGGACATTCAGTTCAACAAAGCCCCTACCGTGCTGGAGGCGGTTCCGAAGCATTAGCGAACGCAGACTCAGCTTAGCCTGGCTTAGGCATGTCCGTGAATAAATGAGCAGTCCAAGACACACATCAAAAAGATCGAGCAAAGTACCGTCGTGCACAGGCAGAGGCAGGCTTCATCGCTGCAGAGGCCAAGCGGCCAAGCCAAGACTTTTCGGAGCCTTGCAGAGCTGGGAGCGCTTTCAGGGCTTCGCAGGGGTTGGGCCGAGCATGAGCAGTTCTGTGAAGGGTGGCCTGACTCTTGTCACCGGACGGTACTCCGTTTTTCACTTCAGGTCTCAGGCATCTCACAGCGGATCAAATTTGTCAGGTCTTCTTCCTGGTTTATTTCTCGGCAGAATTGCTCTTCCGGTACATGTCCTATCCCACCACAAGGCAGGCCTTCAAGGCCTGGGTTCGTTGAGTTGCAAAACAAATGCAGCAAGAAGCGTTGCAGCAGTAATCTGTGCCCCGTCTGATTCGAGGACCCATGGTTTTGGTTTGATTTGCTGTTGGTGGTCATCATGGTCGTAGAGACGTGGCTTATTCCCATCTTTGACTTGATCATCACGGGCTTCGCAGATGCTGGCAACGGCATGGGGAGAAGTGCTTCCGCTTTTCGCACCGTGAGAGTGCTGCGTGTTCTTCGCACTGCACGAATCATCCGGGTTGCCCGCTACATGCCCGAGCTCATGATCTTAATCAAGGGGTTGATGGTTGCGGCTCGTTCCGTCTTCTTTACCCTGGTGTTGCTGCTCCTCGTGACGTATGTGTTCAGCATAGCAATCACGCAGCTGGCAGCAGGCACCGGGACCAGAATGGAGGCAGAGCAGTTCCCCAATGCGCTTGTTACAGTCTTGAA